GCTCCATACCATAGGAAAATAATGGTTTTGTTGGCGATGCGATTCTAGCAATGCTTCTCTGTGTGATCAGACTTTAGTCAAGAATATTAATATCACTTTCATTTGTTAACCTAGCATAGCATGGATGGAAGCAAGCTAGAATTCTAAAAGTCTCAAAGATTATATACATTTAGAATACCGGTAGAAATAGAAGACATGATATCGGTTTAAGTAGCTGTGCATATGTTATTTGCTTACAGTTACTAGGCCAAGTGACCATACGTAGCTCTTCAGAAGTCCTCTTTCTGAGTGCTGTCTTTCAAAATCCAGCTAACTCATGGATGTATAGATCTACTTTGCTAGCTAACAAGATACAACATAAATAATGTTTATGTTTCCCACTGCTTTCAGTCTTTGTGATTAGGATAAGTTAATAGGCTAAACTCCAGCTATCTCATGGATGATTTAACGTTGAGCTTCTCTTCTACTTCTCAGTAAGACAGCAAGTCAAAAAATTTCCCAAAATGTTGGAGCATTCCTAAGAGTAAAATATAAACTGTTTCCTGAACAGCAGTCAGTACTCTGGCCAAAGAAAGCTGGACTCAACAGTGTCTCGTGGCTTTTTATGCTTTGGTATAAAATCATCACATTACATGATTTCTTGAAGGTCCAACTTTTCAAACACTTCTCGGCAATGTTTGGAAACAAAACTACTATTTGAGAAAATTACCTGCTAAATCTCCCCAAAAAGAGGAAGGGGAATCTCCCAGATGAAGCAGATCCACAGATAACATTTACAGCAAAGACACAAAATCATCACTTTCTCTAGACATTGAAAGACTGCAGTGTGTCTTGGCGCGATAAGTCAACAGCTTGATTGATTATTGTTCGGTTTGCATCCGGGCAGAGGGCCATGTCTCTGCGGCTGTTGGTGGATTGAAGGATGAAAGCTCAGTCTGGAGCCCTGTGTGGTCCTGCAGCTCCAGAGAGGCCTCCACTCTGGCAGCCCCCTCCTGTTTTGAATACACCTACATACATCTTCCTGAAATTCATCTTTTATTATGACAAAATAAGGGGAGGAAAGTATAACTTTACCGGAACTCTGTGCAAAGGAATAGCTTAGATTTTAGAAATGGTTTAAATTGCAGAAAGTAAAGAAATATTTTTGCTTTACATTGTCTCTGCTTAATCTGTATCCTTGGAAAGCTGGTTGCTTACTGTGCACCAGTGCCAATAATCACAGAAGGGGAAGAAGGAATGTTCAAAGATTTAAAGAAAGACAGAGACAAATGTCAGATAAAGGTTGCTGACCCCGGCCTTAAAATGAACCGTTTTTATCTACAGATCGAGTGGGTCCTCTTCTAGTTTCTACAGTAGCCAAACACTGGCTTTAGATAGGACCTTTTGTGTTCTTTGCATGTTTTGCAGCCACTGCAGTTTCTCCTACACACTTGGAAAGGGAAGGTGAGGAAATTGGTTGTGATCTATAACGTCACTCTGCCACTAAATCCTACACACTGGTCCTTTAATACATAGTAGAGTTTACTTAAGGCACCAAAACATC